GCCGCTTGAGCTACAGGCGCCGAGCCTTAACACAACTTTTAAACTTGGCTGCTGCTTGTTCGTGTTTACTCACATTTTTCCTAATAATTTTAGGTATTAAAATGATGGTTTCTGAATGGAATTTTGTGCATCTTCTCCTGCCACCATGCTATCCCTTTCTCTCGCTGTCTTTGGGAAGGTTTAATCCAGGTTTTTCTTGTTTTGACTACTGAAAGCCTCAACTCCAGGGTTGAGGCTTTTACATTTCTAGCTTTTTTTTTTGTGGAGACAGAGTCTCACTGTGTTTCACCCTTGCTAGAGTGCTGTGGTGTCACAGCTCACAGCAACCTCCAACTCTTGGGCTTAAGTGAGTCTTTTTGCCTCAGCCTCCCGAGTAGCTGGGACTTGGTGCCTGCCACAACACCTGAATATTTTTTTGTTACAGTTGTTTAGCTGGCCCGGGCTGGCTTCGAACCGGCCACCAACAGTGTATGCGGCTAGCCCTATGGGTGCCCAGCCTTTTATACTTTACTGTGCTCTCTGTTACAGTGGTGAGTAATCCATGTGCATACTTCAGTGAGCTGTTGAGTTTTTGGGGTATGTGGAAAATGAAACTTGGGAAGTAAGTTGCCTTTGTGTAGTTTGGAGGTATGGATGGCATGACAGGAAGTGGGAGAAAAGAAGCGAAAAGTTGGATTTTCTTTCTTTTTTTTTTTTTTTTTTTTGAGACAGTCTTGCTCTTTAGCTGGGGATACAGTGTAGTGGTGTCATCATAACTCAGTACAACCTACTTGCTTGAGCCTCCTAAGTAGCCTGGAATACAGGTGTGGATCACCACATCTGACTAATATTTTTCGATTTTTGGTAGATCCAGGGTCTTGCTCAGGCTGGTCTCCAACTCCTTTTTTTTTTTTTGCAGTTTTTTTTTCGTTTTTTCTTGAGACAGAGCCTCAAGCTGTCCCCCTGGGCAGAGTACCGTGGGATCACAGCTCACAGCAACCTCCTACTCCTGGGCTCAAGCAAGTCTCCTGCCTCAGCCTCCCAAGTAGCTGGGACCACAGGCGCCCACCACAATGCCTGGCTGTTTTTTGGTTGCAGCTGTCATCGTTGTTTGGCGGACCCGGGCTGGATTTGAACCTGCCACCTTACGTATATGTGGCTGGTGCCTTGGCCACTTGAGCCACAGGCGCCGAGCCAGAAGTGGTTTTTTTTTTTTTTTAATTTTTTTTTATTTCAACTTTATTACTTTGAAGGTTTTTTAAAAAAATTTTTTTTTTATTACTTCCTCCTGTAGTGTTTTCTTGCCCCCCATGGAGCTGGAATCACAAGGTCCGGCTGTCTCGTCCTGTTGTTGTTGTTGTTGTAGAGACGGGGGTCTCACTCTGGCTCCTTTGGCTCAGGGGGGTCTTGGATGGTCTCAAACCTCTGAGCACAGGTGATCCACCTGCCTCGGCCTCCCATAGCGCTGGGACTACAGGTGTGAGCCACCACGCCCGGCCCAGAAGTGGTTTTTGAAAAATGATATATTGGGGCGGTGCCTGTGGCTCAGTGAGTAGGGTACCGGCCCCATATACCGAGGGTGGCAAGTTCAAACCCAGCTCCGGCCAAACTGCAACAAAAAATAGCCAGGCGTTGTGGTGGGGGCCTGTAGTCCCAGCTATTTGGGAGGCTGAGGCAAGAGAATCGCCTAAGCCCAAGAGCTGGAGGTTGCTGTGAGCTGTGATCACTCTACCAAGAGTGATAAATTGAGACTTTGTCTCCTTAAAAGAAAAAAAAAGAAAGAAAAATGTTGTACTGTCTAGGAGTGATGGCTCTAGTCAGTAATGGTAGCACTCTGGGTGGCCAGGGTAGTTGGATCACTTGAGCTCGGGAGTTCCACACCAGCTTGAGCAAGAACCAGATTCTGTCCCTGCCAAAAATAGAAAAATGAGCCAGGTAGTTGTGGTGGGCACCTGTAGTCCCAGCTTCTCGGGAGGCTGAGGCAGGAGGATTGATTGAACTCAGTTTGAGGTTGCTGTGAGCGAGGCTAATTGCAGGGCACTGTACCCAGGGCTGCAGAGCGAATTGTCTCAAAAAAAAAAAAACCATACTAAGTGTGGTGGAAGATGAGAAAGGTGGGAATTTCATCACTGAGAGCTTTTAAAGAATTTGAGATGAGTTCAGCACCCTCTTTAATACATCAGTGTTTTATTTATTTATTTGCAGTTTTTGGCTGGGTTTGAACCTACCACCTCTGGTATATGGGGCTGACACCCTACTCTTTTGAGCCATAGGCGCCGCCCAGTGTTTTATTTTTATTATTTATTTATTTTTTTGGTTTCAATTTTTTGGCCAGGGCCAGGTTTGAACCCACCACCTCTGGCATGTGGGGCTGGCACCCTACCCCTTGAGCCACAGGCGTCTCCCCTTTTATTATTTTTTTAAATTTGTTTTTGGCTGGGGCTGGGATTGAACCCGCCATCTCCGGCATATGGGGCCAGTGTCTTCCCTATTTGAGCCACAGGCACCACCCCAGTGTTTTTATTATTTATTTATTTATTTATTTATTTTTGAGACAGAGCCGCAAGCTATCCCCCTGGGTAGAGTGCCGTGGCATTACAGCTCACAGCAACCTCCAACTCCTGGGCTCAAGCGAGTCTCCTGCCTC